AAACCCTAAACCCTACACCCCAATCGCCCCTTCGAGAAGCTTTTTTTGGTCGCCTTGAGAGCCGGCAGGACTGGCCAGCGCCTTGGAAGCTGACTGCAAAGGGCGCCGGCGACCGGAGAAAAAAAAGGAGAAGGGGTTCTTTTCAGGGCTGCCTTAAGAGGGATCTATGGGGCTTATAGGGTGTCTTTCAAGTCTCTGCTCCCTTGCGAGGGATCTATGAGGCTGGCTCCGCTGAAAGGTCCATTAGAAAAGGTGGTGCTTATGGACTTCCAAAAGGGTTCCTATAAGGGTTCTGTAGTCTAGAGCTGTAGTGACATCGGCGGCGTTGGGGTTTAGAATGGTTTTGGTTTTCTTTGTGGGCTCCTTTCAAACGGGATCGATAGGGGATCTTCAATGGAATGCAAGGATCCCCTCTAGCAGGGATCCAATTGAGGGATCAGTATGACCATACAATAGGAGCCTTAGTACTATAGCTATGACAACGAGTGATACTATGGGCAACTATGCAGGCCCCCTGCTCATGGGAGCTGCACAGGGTAGCGGGTAAGGGTTGGAGGGTTGAGGTCATCATGAGGTCGTATTGGGTTTTATAAGGTCTCTACGTCCAGGAACTTAGTCAGGCTTGAAGATTGCTTCAGACGTTGTACGTACTTTATGGACTTCCAGTAAACAAGCTTCTGCTCGCACTTCTAGCCAGTTTCCCGTTTGCAGCCAATTTGCTCGAGCCGATGGTGGAGCCGCACCAGCGGTGATGTTGGAAGCTTGGTCTAGGGTACTTCAAGGTCCATGGCTAGTTGTAAGCAGGTCTGTACCCATCCTAACTCGGGTCATAAGCAAGGAGTGGTTGGGTGCAGGTTGTGTGGGGATGAAGCGTGTGAAGCCACTGAATCCCCGTAGATTCGGCAACATGCCTCAAGTTGTCCAGAGATCCTTCATATTTCTTCATATGATTGGATGAATCTCCGGATACCGGGCATAAGAGGACATGGTTAAGGGCTTAGGGTTAAGAGGACAACAGGCACATGGCTGAAGAGCTCTTGACCTTGCCTCTTAGGTAATTGATTGAGACAAACAGGTCCCTCCCTCTCTCTCTCTCTCTCTCTCACTATGGTGGTACCAGACCAAACCCTAAACAGCCAAAACCCTAAACCCAAGAGCCCTGAACCGCAAACCCTGACCATCACGTACAATGACTAGCAACTTGCCTCCAACCCAGAATCAGAATCATGACAACCTACTTTCAAAACCTTACGAAATCCCGATAAAACTCTTGCAAAAAATTAACAGCTATTTAAATGCCTTACAGAGCTCGTGTAACAGCCGGTTAAAGCCGTAAACAGCTGAGTTTCTGTTTGAAAGGACATGAACGCTTGATACAAGTCTTATAAACTGCTTTGTCATTGTAGTACTCTGCTGACTGGAAACCCCCTTCTAAAGCCCCCTGCGAAGCCCCCATGAAACCCTAAACCCAAAACGCTCAACCCCAAACCCTAAACCCAAACCCTCTTTCAAAGCTTTGTAAAGGCCTATGACACCTGACTATTGAGACCCGCTTTCGAAAGTTGAAAAAGATGTGGCCGACATCCTAAACCCACCTTTCGAACAAAGCAAAAGCAGATCCTGAGCCGTCCAAAATATGTGGCTGAGTCTCGTCAACCTTCAACCCCAGCCCCTCAACCCTAAACTGTAAATAGACCCTAAAGCCTAGACCCGAAAACTGTAGATTCACTGTAGACGAAACCCTAAGCCCTAAACCCCCCTAAAAGGCTAAACCCAACCCCCTAAACCCTAAACCCCTAAACCCCTAAACCCCTAAACCCCCTAAGCCCTAAACCCCCTGAGCCCCTTGAACTCCAAATCCGAAAAGGTCGGGGCCTGACCCTGAGCAGACCCCGAATGATCAGGAGCCTCTGTGGAGCTTCGCAGCACGAAGATGGGGTTCAGGGTTTAAACTTAGAGTTTAGGATATTGGTCGTAGCGTTTGGCGTTAAGGATTTGGGGTGTAGGCTTCAGGATTCAGGTTGTAGGGTTGAGGGGTTAGGTTTTAGGTTTTCATGTTCAACGTTTAGGGTTTAGGGATGCAAAAGGTATACCGGCAGTCTCTACTGTAGTTCCCTTTTCTGGTGACCTTATAGCCTCCTAAATATGACACTGGTTCAAAAAACAAAGTGACTGCAATGGATACTATAGGTAATACGGGCTGGGGAGTGTCAAGAAATGATTCAGGGGCGGTCTGTAGTAGTAGCCCATATAATTCATAGGGATCCTCGGTTTAGGGTTTTCAGGATTTAGGGTTTTATGATTTAGGGTTTTAGGGTTTAGGGCTTTAGGGTTTTAGGGTTAAGGGTTAAATATTAAGGCCGTACATAGTGGGTCTGCAATTGCCCATAGACTTCTTCTGGGCTCCACTTTTAGGGTTACCCGTCTTACATTAGTCCTTTGCGTTCCTCTTCTTAAAGTACCCATATTCTTCTTTGGGGTTCCATTTCTTAAACTGCCCATCTCATTCCATTGGGTTTCTCTTTCAACATTGCCCCTATGATAATATCATCCTTTGGGTTCCTCTTCTTACGCTACTCATACTCTTCAGTTGCATTCCTCTTCTTCGACTACCCGTCTTGTTCCTTCAGGTCTTTCTTCTCGAACTACCCACTATATTTCCTTTGTGTTCCTCTTCTTAAACTACCCATATGATTGGCTCAAAGCACCCGTGCCGGCAGGAGGAGGTGACCGTGCAGAATAAGGCGGATGTTGTGCTTCGGCTGTCAAAACATCCCCCAGGCCTTTGAGGGTAATATAGGGGCGTCAATAATTGCCAATACTATTTTGGGGGCTCCTTGTTACAATTGTAGTATAGTATACCCCCAAAACCCTACTCTAATTCTCAAGGCCCCTACATTATCCTGGAAATGCCCGATATGTTTTGGTATTCTAAGGTCCGACTTATTAGGATTCCCTTACGAGACCCTTGCGGTAGATATCAAGGCACCTCTTTCCTTAGTCTAGGACTGCTGAATTCCTTTAAAAGGCCCTATAAGGATCTTCATAAAAAGAAAGCCCTATAAGTAAAGCCATGTAAGTATACTACAAACGAGCTCGTCCCTAGGAACCCGGGTGTGGATGGCAGAGCTCTGCCTACTCTGTGGCTAAGGACACCAGAGATGCTGCGATTGCCATCGTTATTGTCGGGTTTTGGGTTTAGTAGGTGACAACGAAACAATCGGAACCATACTGCGAGGAAGAATCGAAAATTAGTCGTAGTAGTAGTCGTCGTCGTCGTAGTGGTAGTCGTCGTCGTCGTCGTCGTACTAGTACTAGCACTAGTACTAGTACTAGTACTAGTACTAGCAGTTGTCGCAGTAGTGGAGGTAGTAGCAGTAGCAGTAGCAGTAGTCGTCGCCGTCGCCGTAGCAGTAGTAGCGGTAGCAGTAGTAGTAGTAGTAGTAGTAGTAGTAGTCGTCGTCGTCGTCGTCGTCGCCGTAGCAGTAGTAGTAGTAGTAGTAGTAGTAGTAGTAGTAGTCGTCGTCGTAGTAGTAGTAGTACTAGTAACTACAAGGTACTATAAACAACTGTAGTACTGAAACAATCATGGTCGCAACTTAGCTGCAATACTATGGTAGTGACAAGGATGATCTTAGTACTGATGTAACAATCGTCGTAATCGCCACAAAAAATCAGAAAAGCAGCAGAACAGTGTTGCACCACTATGTGTTGGATTCTTTTCCCTTTCAATCACTTGCCGTCCGCCCTGGCAGTCCGTGATTTTGAAGTCTCTCAACCATGCAAGACGCAATTGCGAACATTCTTATCAAAAATTTCTCATGGCTAGCATGTGCCACACCCCTGAGTTAAAGACGATGCTTCAATGAAGGGGTATTGGGCTCTCGGGGTAGGAGCTTTGAGCCCGCACCAGACCGAACCTGAGCCTTCCGAGGATCTCGAGACGCTGCGAGAGGCGCCGGAAGGGGCGGCGTGACGGGGAGTGCGGAGTTCTCGACGTTCCAAAGCGACTTTCGGGGCTTCGGAGAGGTCCTCCGAGGCAAAACACCCGAAAGCCAAGGCTATCGAGGCCTCAATAGCTCGAGTAGGGCTTTAAGGAGTATGTACAGGGGAACTATGAGGGAATCCCTAAACCCTAAACCCTAAACCGAATACTACAAGAGCTACCCCTGCAGCCAAACCTAGAGGGCTGATGAGAGGCCATCGAGGCGTACCTGAAGCTGACGCGGTCGGAGACCAAAGGAAGCAACCGGGCTCTCTTGTTGTAGGAGCTTCCTTTCAGTTTCCTTCCTCAGTATGGTGACGTAAATCATTATGATGGTATCACATAAGCTAGTTTTACAAAAGCCCTAAACCCCTAAACCCCTAAACCCTAAACCCCTAAACCCTAAAAGCCCTAAACCCCAAAGCCCCAAAAGCCCTAAAACCCTGAAGCCCGAAAACCCTAAACCGCTAAACCCTAAACCCCTAAACCCCTCAACCCTAAACCCCTAAACCCTAAAGCCCTAAAGCCCTAAGAACTCCCTAAAACCCCAAAGCCCAAGACAACTCCAAAGCCCTAAGAGCCCTAAAGCCCTAAAGCTCCCTAAAAGCCCTCAAAGCCCCAAGAAGAGCCGAGGCAAAGGGGATCCCTCGGAGGTCCAGGCGCCCGGGGGAGATGATGAGCCACACGAGGCCAGGTCAGGGCTTCCGGTTTTAGGGGTTTTAAGGGGGTTTAGAGGGTTTAGGGTTTAGGGGTTTAGGGTTTTGGGGTCTTAGGGTTTAGGGGTTTTAGGGTCTTGGGGTTTTAGGGTCTTAGGGGTTTCGGGTTTTGGGGTTTTGGCGTTTGGGTTTTTAGGGTTTAGGGGTTTAGGGTTTTAAGGTTTTGGGGTTTAGGGGTTTTGGGGTTTAGGGGTTTTGGGGTTTAGGGGTTTAGGGTTTAGGGTTTAGGGTTCAGGGTTTAGGGTTTAGAGCTCAGGGTTTAGGGGTGGAGGGCTTTAGGGTTTA